ACACATGCACGCATATATACACCATGGTCTATCTGAGGAGATAAAGGAATACCTTGTGGAGGCAGTTCTCTCCTTCCAGCGTGTGGGTCCCAGGGGCCAAACCAGGTTGTCAGGCTTGATGGCAAGTGTCTTTCCCTGCTGAGCCATCTTGCCAGTCCTCTTAAGAGTTAGCCTTAAACAAAAAAGGTTATTTATTTATTATTTATTTGTGTGTATGTGTGTGCCCATGTGTGTTTATTTGTACCACTGTGTGAGGTAGCCCACAAAATCCAGCAGATGTCAGACCCCATGGAACTGGACTTACAGGTGGTTGAGCACTACCATGTGGGTGCTGGAACCTACTGAACGTGGGTCCACTGCAGGAGTGATGAGCTCTCCTGACTGCTGAGCCATCTCCCTCGCCCCTCGGAGCTTAATGTTATCTCAAGCGACTGCGAAAAAGAGAACAGGATTAGCTCTGGTTCGTTACTAAACTAAAGCCTTTGAAACATTTCGTGATCATTGTTTTAAAGATGTTTGTCTATATTGTAGTTAGCAATACCATCCTGCTCTTTTCTGGCCCTCTTAAGGTAACCAGTTTTGACTGTGGCATGAGGAATTAAGAGTTTGAACTCAAAAGCAAAAGTTGTGAAATTTTTCTGAAGGAGATGAATGAGGGCTATTGTTCCTTTTGGGAAAAAGATATATTCAGGCCTTAGATGCTACAGCTGCTTTTCAAATTTATAAAGGGGAACTTAGAAGGCAGCCTTGACATAAGATTGAATTTTGGTAGTAACTGAACCAGCCATTCAGGAGAGGGAGGTAGAAAACAGAACTTTTAGGTCTGCCTGGGCTATGAGATGATTGCTACATCATTCCCCCAAGTGTGTGTGTGTGTGTGTGTGTGTGTGTGTATATATATATATATATACACACACATGTATATATAAGTGTGTATATATACATATGTATATGTTTTTAATTAGAAAATACTTCAATATTCAAGGTAATACATGTATAAATACAAAGAATAAAATATTAAAAAATAAACTAAATTGCCAGGCAGTGGTGGTACAGGCCTTTTATTCCCGTACTCAGGAGGTAGAGAATCTCTGAGTTTGAGGCCAGCCTGGTCTACAGATTGAGGACAGCCAACAGTACACAGAAAAACCCTGTCTTGAAAGAAAAAAAAAAAAAAAAAAGCTGGGTGTGGTGGCACACACCTGTAATCCCAGAACTCAGGAGGCAGAGGCAGGCGGATCTCTTTGAGTTTGAGGCCAGCCTGGTCTATAGAGCGAGTTCCATGACAGCCAAGGCTACACAAAGACACACTATCTTGAAAAACCAGACCAAAACAAAAGGAAAAACTAAATCTAAAAAGAATGTATGGGGAGGGCTCATTGGTTAAGAACACATATTGCTCTTGAAGATTTGAGTTTGGCTCCTAGCATCTACTTTGGGTCGCTTACAACTAACTGCCTATAACTCCAGTTGCAGGGGATCAGATACCTTTTCTAGATTTAAGTACCTGAACTCACATTTCCTATATCCCCATTCACACACACACACACACACACACACACACACACACACACACACACACAAACAAACAATTGAAAACAATCTAAAAAAGAATATGGCTAGTGAGGTGGCCTAGTGGTTAAGAGCACTTACAGAGGACCTGGGTTCAATTTCCAGTGCCCACACGGTTCATACCATCTGTAACTCCAGTTCCAAGGCATCCAACATTCATCTTTTGCCTTCTGCCACTAGGCATGTAAGTGGTGCATAAACACAAATGCAGGCAAAACTCCCAACTCCCACACAAGTTTTTTAAAAAAATCTTAAACAAAAACAAAATAATTTCATAGAGGCAGACACAGAACTTAAGAAGTAGAACATGGGGTCTAGAGAGATGGCCCAATGGTTAAGAGTACTCTCTGGAGACAGTGCCAATGGAGAGGACACCTCGTAAGCACATAGTAGAGTTTAGAAATCTTATCCCATTATTCATTTTCCTGGGCACTTGGGAGAGATCAAAGTAACACCAGATCCTCTCCCCTAGTATCTTCAGCACATTCTCACTGCTCTCCCTCTGCTATTCCTTTCTGTGTTCATTAATTCGTAATTGCCCTGCACATTTTCACTTCCTTTGATGCTCCTTAGTAGTTTTGTTAAGTTTTACCCTGTAAGTTTTGCTTTAATTTTGATACCTCTTTGACTTAACAGTAAAAAAGATGTGTGGTTTTTATCAACTGTCTCCAAAATAACCTCTTGTTATGCAGGGAGTACAGTTCTTCCCATTCATATAATTCCAGGAGTTGCTTCCCTAACTGCAGAGGCATCTCGTTTATTTGTAACCCTGAGAACAGCTTTGCATTAGCGGTGGTGTTTTCCCTCCTGTGAGGGGGCTGTCCAACATGAATATAACCATGTATTTTTGTGAATGGGAGCTGGCATGTCAAATGCATCTTACAGGAAATAGTGTAATAGTCTTAATATTTGTTTTCTAAAGTTAATACTGTGGGTTAGTTTTGTGGACAGCCAGACATGTGGGATGTTTGGGATCTTCTTCTCAAAATAAACCAGGAATGGGGAGGGGGATGGAAGAGCACTGTCTGCTCTTCCAGAGAACCAGAATTCAATTCTCAGCACTCATTTGGTGGTGAACAACCATCTGTAACTGTGGTTCCAGGGGATCTGATGCCCTCTACAGGCCCTGTGGGCACCAGGCAAGTAGACTTACATGCAAACAAATTACTAATACACATAAAATAAAATTTTTTTTTTAAAAGTAGGAATTACCATGTCTTCTGAGGTTCCTGATAACTCTTGTGACAATGTTGACTTTTGTATTGTTATATTTTTCATTTGGGAACTGAAGTATTTCAAATATAGATAGATTTAGTATTATTTATGAAAACTATTCTACAGTTATACTGTGTGTGTTACTGGGGATTGAGCTCAGGATCTTATATGTGCTGGAAAGACACTGAGATAGATCCCAAGCCTTATAAAGAACTTTTGAAAAATTGTGTATTTCTGAGCCAGGTACAGTGGTGCACGCCTGTAATCCCAGCACTCAGGCAGGCAGAGGCAGATGAATCTTTGCTTGAGGCCAAGCTGGTGTACAAAACAAGTCCAGGAAAGCCAGAGCTATACCGAGAAACCCTGTCTAGAAAAAAACAGAAACCAAAAACCCCAAAATAAAAAACAACAAACAAAAAACAGGATGGGGCTGGGAATGTAGCAAAATGGTAGCATACTTGCTTAGCATATACACAGCCCTAGCTTTAAACCCCAGCCCTGTGCAAACAAACAAACAAACAAACAAGCAAACAAACAAGAAACCCAAGTTGGTTGTGTTACTATCAGAGGCTTCAAAGATCTGGGGGGAAAGCTTGCTGAAGAAGAAGAAAAGGATTCTTGTGACCTTATTATACTCTGCTGTACGTTTTCTTTCTTTTTCCCCTTAGGGAAATGACAAATGAAGGGTAGGATCTG